AGGCACACGTGTTAACCCATTATAAATTAATATTTTCTAATCTTAAGTGAGTCTTCATTGCTGATTGCAATTCTTTTTTTTCCTGATCTACTCTGTTAAGAGCAAAATCTATTCTATATAATCTAGACTAGAGTAGTTTTTCCCTAAAGAAAGCAAAGCTATCCTTTTTTAAGACTTAATGGTGTCAGAGGACTAAGGCTCAACTCTTCATTTAGCTTCCTGCTCAAATAGTGAAGGATGAAGACTTAAAAAAAATATTATCAGATTTGGCAAGCAAGAGAGAATATTCATAATTTTGGTGCAGGTAGTTGTTGTTGCAGTCGGAAGCCAGATTGCAGTGGGTAAAGTGAATGAGAGGAGAGAAAGTAAAGGGTTTTTTTTCCCTAGGAATTTGGTTGAGAAGGAGTGGAGGAATCTGTAGGAATATTACTTGAGGAGATGGTAGGGTCATGTGAAGATTTTTTAAAGAAGGGGGAGAATTGGGTATATATTTCAGCGCCAGGGAAGATTAGAGAGGGGATGATTGTTGAAGGCAATCTTCTGGAGAAGAGAGGATTCTGGTATGAAGGGCATATGTAGAAGAGTTGAATTTGACAAGGAGAAGGGCCTCATTAGAGAATAGGGAAAAGGAGAAGAGACTAGGGTATAAATATAGGGGTCTTTTAATGAAGAGAAAGAGACAGTAAAGTAAGAAATGAGATTTGCAGCTGAGGAAGTGGGGGGCAGGGAGTGTTCGAGCTTGGAAGATGGAAGAGAAGGTTTGGAATACTTTGTGTGCGGAGTGAAATAAGGAATCAGTTGGAAGGAATAAAAAGATTGCCTTGCTGTAGTGAATACCAAATGAGGTTAGCTAACATAAATTTGAAATGAACCCACTCAGCATAGCCTTGTTACTTCCTCCAGCTCTGTGCAGCAATATGTAAGTAGGAGCAGAGAAGGCAGGTTATGGGATTTAATGGACTAATTTAGGTGCAGTTTGACTCGGGATGATGATAGGATAAGGGGATGATAGCAGAAGACTGTGTAGTTGAATTGGTAAACTGTAGTTGTTGAGTTTGGGAAGGGAAAGTCTGAGACAGTAAAGTCAGAGCCTGGGAAAGTACTGAGGAGAGGAATGAGAATGTTTCTTCTCCCCATATTGGATGTTAGCACTACATCGTCATCATACAGCTCCTTCTAAATTTTAAACTTATTTTCTCTCATTGTCTGGACTTTTGTGTTTGTATTTCAAAGTTCAAAATACTTGCCAGTTCTGGTGTTTTCTTCAGAAATGGTTGAAAGTCCTCCTGTTTCATTTAAGGTCTGGTGTTTTTTTTGTAAAAACTTAACTTAGTTTTGCCGGTTAAGTTATTCTTGGTTGTTAAGTCTATATCTTTTTACTTTTGGAATGGTGTATTACAAAATCTCCTTTTATTTATAGTTGAAGCTGCTAGAGCCTGTGTGATCCTGACTGGTTTCTTGTTCATTGAGCTTTCTTCTGTATGCTTGCAGTATTGATATAGAGCTAAATTTTATCTGTAACGTTCCTGGGACTTTAACTCTTAAGGTTCCTTTCAGGAAATGACCAGTGGATTCTTTCTATCTTCATTTTGCCTTAAACTGTTTCTAATATGTATGGACCATTTTCACTTATTGTTTCTTGAAATATGGTGTCAGGCCTTCTTACAAAACAGTGACAATAGCATGATTTCAGAGTTTAGACATTATTAAATTCTCTCTCTTTGACTAGTTTTCCAGGTCACTTGGTTTTGATATTACGTATCTGATGTTTTCTTTAGTTTTTTCAGTCTTTTGGGTTTTGTTTTAATATTTTTTGCTGTTTCATGGAATCACTGATGTATTTGGTCTCTTGGTTTTCAGAATCTGTTTCTTGGGTAAACTTTACCACTTTCTCATCTCAGCTACTTATTTTGCTTCTATCTTTTCCTCCAAAACTTTTATCTCATTTTTAAAAAAATCTCTTAAATCTCTACTTCATACAGTCCTTGTGGAAAATTCATTTTTTCCTTTTGAGTCTCTGCTTGCCATTAGTATAGAGTTGCTTGCTCTTTCTTATGAGGGACCTTTAGAGCTGCAATTATTTTCATACTGGTTAATGTTTTTAAAAAATTTACTCATCTCTGCAGCTTTAGTTTCTGAGTTGGAACTTTGTCCCAGGGCCCAGCTTTGCCCCTCCTGTGCTTTTGGGTGGGGTGGTTTGTCTTGCCTGGTCTCCCCTTGGGTTCCCATATAAATCTCATAGTTAGGATTTCCTGAATCCTGAGGTTCAGAGTGCTGGATCTTTAGTGTTCTTTCTGGCATCTCAGGACAGTAAAAAGTACCTCAGATCCCTTGAGCCTGGAATATCTGAGTCTAAAGTTTGAATATCTACTCTACCCTATACTGGTCGCTGCCATTAACTGGGGCTTTTGGGGTCCCTTTTCTAGGAGTACCCTTGGCTTTTGCTGCCTCTGGGCACAGGGCATTGCAGGCAAAAGTTTCTCTGGCCCATCTATAGTTCCACTATCTTGTGCTAGAGCTGGCCTTGCTTGCAACACTTTCTTTTTGCCCTTGTCCTTTAGGCTGATCTCCTGTGCAGTTCTGGGGTTGAAGAAGTTCCTTACTGTAGTGTCTCAATAGATTTCATTCTGGTGGAAATGGCAGCATTTTTCTGGTGTGGGTAGGTGGGAGATGACTGCATTTAGGTAGTCATCTTTGCTCAGCCTACCTGTCAAGACTCATCCTATTTTGCAGCCAAACTGGCCTCCTCCCTGTTGCATTTCAACTCTGACTTCTGCTCTGACAATTCTTTATCGTTGTAGTGCTCTCCCTTCTCATCTTGTTTCTTTCAAGACTGAGGTTAAGTGCTGCTTCCTACTCCTGCCCTGTCCTCATCTCCACCTATTGCTAGGGCCCTCCATTCTCATACCTATATATATACCATAGGTATATGTATTTCCAAAGGTATATATCAAAACATTAGTAAATGTTTTGTATATGCTTTTTACATCTTTAACTCTCCCCCTCCAATAGAATATATTTTCCTTAAGGGGAGGAGTTGTTTTTGTGTTTATATCCTCAGTGCTAGCCTATTACCTAGCACAATAAGTTGAGTCTTTAACAAGTGTTTGTTTAATGTATGAATAAGTCCTCTTGCCCTCTCTTCAAGTAGATGTCCCTCTGTGCCCTGGCCTGCACTCTAATATCTCTCCAACCTCTTCCTTGGTGAGCTTATATGTTCTTATTGGTTCAACTCTTGTGTCTATGCCAAAGACAAGGAAATATGTATATTTTGGCCTATTCTCCCTCTTTAGTTCAGTTCCTAAATTGTCTGCTGGAAACCTCAGAGATGTTCTCTAGGGGTCTCAAACTTTGTGTGTTCAAAACAGAGTCCGTTGTGTACCTCAGTTTTATTTTCTGTAAAATATTGATGGTAATATAATAACTATCTTGCAGGTTGTTATAGGCAGCTAGGTGTTGTAGTGGACTTGGAATCAGGAAGACTTGAATTCAAATATTATTTCAGATTAGCTCAGAGCAACTCAATCTCAGGTTCCTCATGGGAAGATAATAACAGCATCTACCTTATAGGATTGTTCTGAGGATTAACTGAGGTAGTATTTGTAAAACACTTTGCAAGCCTTAAAGTGGCTGTATCAGTGTTGCTATTATTATCATTTTTGTGAGGCTCAAAATGTGATAATGTATATAATTAGAACCTTTGTAAACTTTTAACTGCTGTATATGACTGTCAGTAGTTGTTGCTTCTGAACCTCACCTTGTTTCAAAGAATTATGCTTTTTTTATGACTTCACCATATTTCTAGTCATCTAGGTTCACAAACTTGGAGTCATCCTTGACTTCCTTCCTCTCCTTTGTGTTCAGTCCGTTGCCAGGTCTCATTGATTTTACCTCTTTAACCTTTCTCATGTTCATGCTCTTCTCTCTACTCACAGTCACCACTCTAGTTCAGGTTCTCATTAACTCCTATCTGTCCTACTGTAACATCCTTCCTTTTTCCAGGCTCTTTCTTCTCTAGTCCATCTTTCTGGTTGCCAAAATAATCTTCCTAATAAGGTATAAGCCTGGCAGTGTTTATTCCTTTGCTTGTAGGCCATCAGTTGCTCCCCATCACATCTAGGATAAAATATAGACTCCTTTGCCTAGCATTTAAGTCCTTTCACAGTCCTGCTTTTATAGTTTCTTCATACTGTACTTCTTCATGGATTCTGTATTCCAGGCCAGCGGGGCTTAAATCCTATCTGCTCAACCCTTGGCTTTATTTATTACCTTCAGACATTCACCCAAGCCCTTCCATATCCTTGGAATGCATTCTCTCCTTATGTCTACCTCTTAGAATCCTTGTCTTCCTTCAAGATTCAACTTAAGAACAGCATTTATTTTATGTAGGCTGGAGTGGTTTCTCTTTAAGGAGAAAAGACTTAGAGCTTCATTGGTCAAGAGTACTAGAGAGGTAAGAAATCTAACTTATATGGAGTAAGTGAATTGGATATTTAGTGGAATTTCCACTGCTCTATGGAGATGCCTTTCTAGTTTAATTGTTGTCTTTGGTGGTAAATGCAGATGTAAAATGACATTTTATTTTATCAACTAGGAATTTTATCCTTTTTAACTCCTAAGTTGTGTTTATTGCATTTTGTGTTCCAAGACTGTTACATGGCATTCCGATCCCAAGCCTGAATCATTGGGCTAGCCTGAGCTAGGAATGGTTGAGAATCCACTTCCTCTGTGAATTTTCTAGTTGTTACCTCATTGTACTCATATGGGTGCATGCCATTGCCTCATGGGAGTATGTAAGCCCCTTCAAAGCGAGGACTATTTTATTTTTTCTTTGTATCTTCCTGCACTTTACCTATATTAAGTTTGTTGAATTGAATCATTTAATTTAATAGTTGTATGTGGGAAACTGGCTAAATATTAATATTTAGTGATATTTAGAGTCTGTTATCTCAGTCATTATGTTATCTATAACAATTGACTTTTCCTTGTGTATTTTACAGTTTTTCAGAAATTGTCAGTGACTTCAGATTCTGATTTCCAGAGAGCAATTTCAGTACTGCATACTTCTTACTTGAACTCTTCATCTGAGAAAGGTTTTCATTACAGTGAAGTGACTTTGGTGAAAAATGACTGTTTCTTAAAGGAGGTGAGGAAATTGGTTGATATTATGTGTAGATGTTTGGTTTTTTTTTGAAGAAATATACTAGCTCCTTTTTGTCATTTGAGCTTTAGCTTTTCAGTTTGAATAAGTATAAACCTAATCATCCTCATGGGTGTAGTTTATTAAAGTGTGTGTGTGTGTGTGTGTGTGTGTGTGTGTGTGTGTGTGTGTGAGAATACATATATTTTACAAGACCTATGATTTCATTGGCATAGAAAAGCTTCCAGGAATTTCTTCTACCAATGCAGATCAGCAGCTTCTCTGCAGATTAAAGTATTAAAGGTCACACATCCAGTGTGTGTCAGTCTTAAACCCCAGTCTTCTTGACTTTGAGTCAAAAAAGGGGAAAAAAGAGCAAATTTTATTTGTCTTTCAAGTCCTGTCTCTTAGGAGAAGGGTGGCTGGCAAATACTCTATATTTTTTTACCAACAAAATAGTACATTGATAGCTTTTAATGCTCACTCTCTTTTATGTAGTATAAAACTTTTTATCAACAAAAGAAAGCAAGCAACTACACTACAGAGGAGCTTCATGAAACTTGTGGTTTTCTTCTGTTTGACAACGAAAATCAGGTAAGGTAATTTATTGAATTTTAAAAATTAAAATTCATGTACAAAATGCATATTAATGTGCAGTTCTGCACATCTTTTAGATTGGCCTTCAAAGCTTATAGAATTCTTGGTTCTTCATTCTGTATAATGGCAGGGCAAATAAATTATTCAAAAATTATCTTCAAGAAAAACAATCTGAATGTAACCTCAATTTCTGCCCTCAAATACATTTATAAACAAAGCTTTGGGAAGCAGTGGGGAATGTGAGGGTGGGGGAAGGGAAGTGATGATGCTCAGTATTAGTATTGCATTTCAGTGAGGAGAAATTGTTTCATTTTTCCATGTTTTAATTTTATAGGTGTCTCTTGACACCTTTGAGAGATTTTTAAAGTGACTTTTTTCAGGATAGCATGTGCTTTCTAGAATTTAAGGTCTAACTTTGGAAACCTAAACTGTCATATTGTCTTTTAGAATTAGTATTTTAAAATGTATGAAAGTGTACTGCTGTATTCAGGTTATGTGCCTAGAGAAGTTTATGACTTTATAAATACATAATTTTTAGCACTATTCCCTTATTGGCAGTGATTAAAGACAATAAAGACAATGCTTTGGTCAGTCAGTAAACATTCATTAAGCACTTATTACATGCTAGGCAATATGCTAAGTACTATAGTTAAAAAGAAAGGCAAAAAAACAGGATCCTTGTCTGAAGAGCTCATATTCCAATTGAGGAAACTGTGCAGACTACTGTGTACATATAAGATATAAGCAGCATAAATGGAAGTTAATCAAATTTATTGTCATTGTCAAAGGCTGAAGAAAAGACAGAATGGATGAGGATTAGAAAAAACCTATTACATTTGGCAGTTAAGAAGTTATGGTAGCTTTGGAGAAATTTTGAGTTGCAGAGAGTTTAGAGAGTGAGAAAAGAGGAAGGGGAGACTCCTAATGGCCTTCTCAAATAGTTTAGCTTGAAGGTGAGCATAGATATAGGCTGATAGTTATTAGAGATAACTGGATTGGGAGAGTTTATTTTTTCTTTTCATTAGGAATGGAAGAAGCATGAATTGGGTGTGTTTGTTGACCAAGGGAAAGCAGTTAGTAGATGAGGGTATTTGAAGATTACAGAGAGTAAATAGTGGGGACAGTCTGCCCGAGAAGTCTGTGTCTTGGTTCAAGGGGAAAGGGTGGGTTAACATTAAAGTCATAAGGTCGCAGAATTGGAAAAGAAGTTAAAGAAAATTTAATACCATCTTCCTCATTTTACAAATGGGGAAATTGAACCCCAGGGAAGTTTGGTAACTTGTTCAGGGTCACTTAGGGAGTATTACCAGTAGAACTGGAAACTTTTCCCCATTCTCCTTGTTCTCAGTTAATGAATAATTATTTACTAAAGTACTAGTTTTAATAATATTTTGTATATTAGTATACATAACTGCTAGAATGAAATGATTTTCTCTCACTTGGTGATCTGAACCCGACTGTAATTTGTTTTGGGCTTTAGCCATTGGAAATATAGACATTTCTATGGCACATGCTCAAACCCTAGCCAAAAAAAAAAAAGCAGTGAGTTGTTGGTTTAAAATTTTATCTTTTCATGATATTTCCCATAGTGTTTGAATTTTAAGAAAATTTCATCTTGCTCTTGTTAGTGACTCATTTAATAGAGAAGGCAAAATTTTTGTCACTTTTCTAAAAATTGATAGTGAAGAAAACCTGGGGCTTGGGAAATTAGGATACTTGCATTCTCTTCCCACCCTACTAATTCTCTGCATCGATGACCACAGTTTTGCTCATCTGTAAAATCATAAGTGGATTAGATTATTTTAAAGACCTTTAATATTTTAATTTTAATATTTTAAAGACCTTAATAGCCTTAAAATCATGAGCTATTGATTATAACTCTTTTGTTTTATTTAAAGGCTAAACTGGTATGTCAACTTGGACTGTGTAGGCAACAGTACTGTCACTACCTTGGGTGATCCAACAAAAGGTAAGATTTTCAGGTATGTTTAACTGATCCACTGTGCTTTGCTAAGATGGCAAGTTTACAAAATTTATAATTGTAAGGGGAATCTATAGAGAAGTTTTATCTCTGTAACAGATTTAATAAGTATCGTGACTTTAAATATAGGAATGACTTTCTTGACTTTTAAAATTAAGTTTGGGCCTTGCTTCTCTGCTTTGGAGGGCAAAACTTTATAGGACGTAAGGAGCATTGACCAGGAAACTTAGTCCACCATTAAATTAGAAAATAGCAGGCAATATGGTGACTGCCTGGGAAAATAAAGGTAACAAATTGAAAGGCTTATGGAGTTTTTAAGAGAGCTCTAGGTTCTGATTAGATCCTTTGAGTCGAAGCTAGGGCTAGTTTGGATTGGTTTTTATAGGAAAAAATTTAATACTTAAATTTAGATATGGGGGAAATGGTTATTTTTCCTTTGTAATACTGTCGTTTATACCTGCGTTGTACCCAATACTGCCTATATTCTGATGTCTTGCTTCTTTATGTTGGGGTAGGGATAAGAAAATAGAACCGAAGGGTTTAGGTTTGCATAAAGATACATGTAGCATTGCCAGTTAGTTTTTAGCTGCCTCAGTTTTGGAGCATAAAAGTATTAATTTAGTATATAGTAGTGTATTTCTTGTGAAATAACCTGGGAATCAGATTACCAAATGTTTTCTGGTTGAGTGATTTTTCGAAAAGAATTAAAACATTTGAGTATTCTTAGATGTGTGAGTTTATTTAACTTTCTCATCCCTTTTCCTTGGTAAACCTAGCCACAAAATTGGTGATAAAGCAACCATATAGAATCTCAGCTTTGTTCTGATATCTCCTTCCTATTGAAAATAGGAGGTACCATGCTTAAGCTGTTAACCTACCATATTTAATTCTGTAGTAGTATGCTTTGCAAATTGAGTTACTAACTGTATCTTGTATCAGAATTAATGTGTGAAGACTAGCATAAAGATTATTTTAAGTGTTACTTTTTCTCTCTCCTTTTAGAAAATTATATATAACCACATTTGTGTCATGTTTTACATAATATCTTTAGAAATTTTGTGAATGAAATTGGCCGTCCTTTATGTTTTAAATAAATTGGTCTGCAAAGACTGTTAGTCTAATCAGATTTATGTTTATTCCAGAAAATTTTCTAATGTTAAGTATTATATTGTTTTATATAGCTATTTCAGAAAAGGGTATGTGCAGATTGATTGAAATATAGTTAATAGCATTTTGAACTTTCCTAGCACATTATTTATAAATATTTGAAATAACTGTTGTTAATAGTCATAATGAAGAAACTGTTATGGCAAATATTGCTATCCATTTACAGATGGAGATACTAAAGTGCAGATAATTTATTAAATGTATTTTATATACTAAATATGAATGAGAGGTACTTAGTGTGATTTAACAGGTTTTTATCAATTACTAGATTGTAATTCTTTCTTAATTTTTAAGCATAGTGATCATTCTGTAAACCAAGCCTAAATATATTCAATCTGCATTTTTAAATATAGACTGTTAAAGTGTTCCTGTTTTAATCAGTAGCATCTCTACTCTTGTTGCTTTTGAAAAAAGAGTATCACTGTCTAAAACAGTGTCATGATTTTCTCACACAAGTAAAGATGCATATAAGGTAGTTTGTTTCTTTTCTGTTTCTAGAATTTAGTTTTAAACTCTGTTCTCAATTTCTACCTTCAATTCTAGTAGTCCTACTCAAGTTTTGAATGTCCTGTATTATATTTCTTAGGCTTATAGAAAATCTCTTTAAAATCAGTTAATAGATTCTTATATTCATGTATATTTTTGTACACTTATAGGTGTATATATTTCTAAATATTCAGACTGCCTTCGTCCAAGACCCTGGTATCATGGAAAATCTGGCTACATTGTCATTTTTAATCTAATTAAGGTAAAGCATATGTGTAGTTATATAATTTTATTGCAAAAATTTATTAACATTTATTTCCCTATGTTTTGTGTAGAAGTATAGACCATAGTTACACATCATCACTAGAAAAATGCCATCTAAGTTAAGAAAAAATGTGGTGGCTATTTTATAGACATTAAAATAATAAAGTAGATATTTTATTTATAATCTGTTATTGATTACAGTTAACTCAGTGATTGCATAGGATCATAGAGCTTTAACATGGATCACAGACACAGAGCTTTAACTGTGGGACCTTGGTGGTCACCTAGTGCAGCTCTTTCATTTTACAAGGAACTTGCACACTAGAGAGGCTAGTTGATTTGGTCATATAGGTGGCAGAGCCAAGATTCAAATCCATGTCCCCTGGCCTTATCCCACACTCTTTACATGGCACCATGCTGTTTCCCCAAGTA